TTAAATATTAAAAATAAAATTTAATGAAATATTAAACACCAAAATGAGAAGACAGCATCTAAAAGTAAGTAGAAATTTCTAGAAGTTTAAGTCCAATCTATCTTCACAAAATTTTTTCTAAGTCCTAAAGTGCTTTTATTTTTTATTTTTTAACACCAAATGTGAGCTGCGTTGGCTTCATTGTTTCCATGCAACCACATTAGGTCATTTTCTAATTCTCTCTTGAAAAAGCACTTAATTCTTGAAAGTGGCATGGGAGAGGCCTCTGAATCGATGATATTTAAATTCTGTGTTTTTAACTCTTCAGTATCAGACACCTGTAAGCTACTAGACAAAGATTTCTCCTAGAATGTTGATCTAGTGAGAAGGATTTTAAGTAAAGATTACAAGGGGCAGGGCAGTTGACAAAGGCACACAGAAAAATAATAAGGCAAGTTGGACATCAAACTAAAAATGAGGAGAAATATTTTATGAAGATGGCAAGGGGAGAGAAGAGAGTGAACAGAACTAGTCTGAGATGGTTGTATGCGTATAACACCCCAGTAAGGATAAGAAAGAGTAAAAGACATTGTATTAATGAGTCAGCTAGCATAATTAAAAACAATACATAATCTGAATACACATCATAAAATACAAAGATTATTCAAGAATGGGAAAAAGATGAAGACTTTATCTACCCAAGATTTGTATGCTTGCTCAGAAGCCCAAAATATAAACAAACCACACGTACTTAAAAAGCCTGTGAATTTATTTTTAAAACAAGGCACTCAGTTTTCCTCCCCCACACTAACAAAAGTACCTGGAAGACCCAAGTACAGGCTTGAAAAGTCTAAAGGGAAATGAAGTTTGTATCTTTGGATCAAGGACATGGCTTAAAAATCACTTCAGTGTGAGAGAGAAATGAAACTATAGCTAACTTGGGTAAACCATGATTTCTTCATTGCTAAGAAAAGACGAGGCTGAAGAAAAGGAAGCTTAGGAAAAATAAAATACATATTTACAACAAAATCATGTGAAACTGGAAGAAAAATCCCCCAAAAGCCATTTATAAATATAGCAGTAACAAAACCAAGCAACAACAAAAGAATACACGTAAGAATAGTCATGATACAATTTCCAGCAAGCAAGCAAAGCCTCAATTCATTAACTAATTCCAAGAAGTCTTAAGTATTTATTATCTGATTTGCATCAATCTTTTGCAAAAGGATCAGACGTTAAGCAGCTGCAAGCACAATTAATACCAACTCATAAAGGTAAGACTTCAACCTAGACAGGTAAAACTCACGCTAGGGAAAGCTTGGCAAGTGGGGAAATAAATCCCTAATTAGCAGGGCTAGATGAACATAATTCTGAATCTGATCTGATTAAAGTGGTCATTTCTGAGAATCACAGAAAAGACTGTAAAACAAGCAGATGGTGAGGGTTTTTTTTTTTTAACCTTCCCCTCTCCCTCCACCCCCTCTATTTTTAATGGAGCTAGTCAGCTCACCTTCAATGTTCCCTCAAGTATTTGAAAAACAAACAGAAAAAAAAACAACAACCAGGATCACATGCAAGCACCTCAAAGACATCACATATTGACAAGACTTGACAAATTAACCTAATTTCTTTTTATGACAGGGTAACAAGCCATCTGGCAATGGAAGAAGGTAGCAGATGTATTTTGATCATGAAAAAGCTTCTGATGCTCTCACAGATGATGAAAGTAAAGATCTCAGCTGGAGATTTTTGAGCAATGCTTTGCTTCCATCCCAAACTGTGAAAGCAGTAGAGTGCCCAGGGGAGGATTCAATTCCCAGAAAGATATTCAGGAGGAAAGACAGAAGGAATTGCAGGGTTTATCCTCCTAAAGAAAAAGCTGAGATGGAATGTGGTACACCTGTTTATAAACATGGGAGATCTGATGCTCTTTTAAAACTGGGAGAACACTTAAGATGAGCAAACATCTTAGCACTGCTTCCTACCACAGCAATAGCTGTTGAATGAAGTCTGACCTATGGAAACAATCCATCCTAAGAAGTCCTGAACCAAATTCCCAGGCATACTTTTATAAAGGGAGGGTAAAAGACTTTAGAGAAATAGGTAAATAATCTAGGATAAAAAGAAAACAACAAACAGATTTGAGCCAAGAGTGCTAAATTGCCTACATCTGCTAGAGCAGAGGGCAAGGAGAGAAACCATTTTGCTGTCCTGTGCTGTGGAAACTACATCAGTAACAACATCCTGAACAGAATCAAAAGATGTCCACTCACAATGTGATGTCCACTCACAATGTGATGTCCACTCACAATGTGATGTCCACTCACAATGTGATGTCCACTCACAATGTGATGTCCACTCACAATGTGATGTCCACTCACAATGTGAAATAAAGGTACGATTATGTTACAACTGCAAAAGGAAGAGGGTGATACATAACCAGTCTCTACACAATTAAAAAAATTGTTCTATATACACTTGTCACCTGGTACACATGGAGAAAAAAATCTTAAAAAAAAAAAACACCCCTAACTTCTACTGAGTCTTAAATGGCTAAGGTACAATAAAAGTTTTCTCTCTGTTCAGTTAGAAGCAGACAACTTCTAGCTATTATAAGAAAAGCAGCTCCAGATGTGGAAAATAAATTTCCCTGTAACAATACCGTTTGCTTGCCCACAAACATCTGTCTACTTTACCCACAAGGAATACTTGCTGGAGTGTTTCTGTTCCAGTCTCAAGAGCCAGCCATCAAGTAGATGCATCACGTATAATAAGGAACGGTGATGAAAATTTCCACTATTGAGAGTGGAGCCAGCAAAACGAATGACTACAGGGATTCTACTATGAGAAAAGTAGGTACTTGGCTAAGAACTAAAGTGGCTGATAAAACATTTACATTTTGCCTCAAACATTCTGGACAGCATGTACACATGCAGAAGATGCATACTCATTTCTCTAAGTGAATCAAGAAGGCACCTGAACAGTGGATTCCCTCTGGATGAATGCTCTACCCTTGGAAATAGCCTGCAAGTGATAATCCAGCATTATCAAAAGCCTAGAATGCAAAATAACTTAAAATCTCTTGACAATGTATGTGACTTATCTAGACTACTTGCAGATACACTTCACTTTAGATCCAGCTGCTTCTTAGCACAACTGCCTCTCCATCAGTAATGGGAAAGAATCGTTCAAGCCTCACAACTGTGGACAGCATTTAGCTGGCAGAATAAGTGTCATTTTAACAGAAGCAACAAACACTGCTTTCAATCTGGAAGGTAGCACAGAGTAAAAAAAGCTTCATAAACTACTACTGCCTACTCCTACCTGATAAAAATCTTGCAAAACAGTGAAAGAAATGAATAGTCATTTCTGTTACCTCAATGGTCCCAAGCATCCAGTTCTGACTCTGCTTTACAAGACAGACAAATATAGGCTTACCAGAGTAAATCCAGTATGGGACCATGAAGATATTTGAGACTTGATCACTTCTTCCATGAGGAAAGGCTTAGAGAGCTCCATCTGTTCAGCCTGGAGGAAGCTCCACCGTGACGACCATGAGAAAACACTTCTACAGTGAAGGCAATCAAACACTGGCACAGAAGTCTCCATCTGTAGAAGTATTCAGAACTCAATTTGACATAGTCCTGCACAAAATGCTGATCCTGCTTGAACAGCGGAAGGTGTCACATTATCTCTAGAGGCCTTTTCCAACCTAAACAATTCATTATGTGAAATAAAGTAAATCCATCCTACTTGCAAAGTTCTGTGCAGTGTTCTCTAGCTTATTAGAACAAAGCACTTGGTTGAGGCACTGTTCAGGCCCTGGAACAGGTGGTGGTCACGGCCCCAAGATGCCAGAGTTCAAGAAGCATTTGGACAACACTCTCAAACACATTATTTGGATTTTGGGTAGTGGTGTATAGAGTGAGAAATTGAGCTCAATGATCCCTGAGTGTCCACCAAACTCAGGATATCATGAAATTGTATGAAAACAGCTATTCTATCAATTTACTGGACTTCTAACAATATTGAGATGGCTAACTCGAGTTTGGATGCTCATTTTTACTTATAACCAGAAAGACATCTGTTGGATTCATGCAAGGACTCAGTGGCCTTAACTTTGTGTATCTAATGCTGGAAAACCTGGGGTACCTTACATATGCATCAAAAAATGTGCCAGAGAAAGTCTCATGCTGCATGCAGTGTAGTAACCTGGTTGGTCATTCTAAAAAGGGAGGTGGCTAATGAGCAATGGAATCTTTTCCCTTGTCATACACTTCTCTGCAAATCATTACAACAATATATTGTCAACAATATAAATTGCCTGTGCAGCTTGGCTTATAAATACTCATACCTAGGCTCAATATTGACACTCACTGGCTGCGTGAAATGTATATTACCTCATCAGCCTCACTGAAATCTTCACACAAGGATGTCTTTATAAGATTGGGCTCACAGTTTTGAATTTCACTGCACCACTGGAGACTTCATTATATTGTTGCTGTGCAAACAGATACTTCCTCATCTCCCTATCCAAAGGTGGGCTAAAAAGCCCATAATGTAATGTGGAGAATGGAAAAGGAAAGCTCACAAAAAAAGGTCACAGAAAATATTACAAGAAAAATCATTGCTCCATTTGTCTTAACAACAACCACACAAATAAATCCTTACCTGTATTTTTGATGCTCAATCAGGTGCAAACTTCATTTACAGAATTTCAATACTACTCTAACAACTCTGTAATACACAGCTATCATTATAATAGCCCCAAAATATATATGCTCACAGAAAAGAAAGAAAAAGCTCACACTGTATGTTTCTGCCCACATCAAATACAAGAATAACAAGAATATTCACCTGCCGAGCTAGATAATTAATCTTAAATTAACAATTGCACCCTAACGTTCCAAGAATAGGCTGGCAGTAGTCTACAGTTCCTGGCTATTCCCTTGAGAACCCATTTGTAAAAGTTAAGATACTATAAATATATCTTTTGCAAGAAAATGCAGGTCACTTTGCAATCCAGTAGCTACAAAACATTTATTTTTTAAATAAAAACATTTAAATCATCAGGTTTTGTAAAACAGCATGTCAAGTGTTTATCTTAATCTTTGTAGCGTGAGCACCTTCAGTTTTATGCTAAAACAATCAACATAATTTATTATTTGGTCAGACTATTAACCTACATTGAAATAAATATAACTTCAAACAAGACAGATTACTTAAAGCATACCAGATAGCTCTAACTTCATAAAAAGCTTCTCTGGTGGCAAGTAAAACAGACTGCAAAACCACGATTGCAATATTTTTCTTTTTCTCTTTTTTAGATTCAGTGAAGACTGGCCTATGGAACTATCAAAAACAAGAATAAAGTTCTATGGACTAAAGCTTAGAAAGACTGCATCACAAAAGAAAAATTAATTAAGCTGGCTTACCTAAACCCTCTCAGATTGAGAGGTGGAATACATACTTCTAAATTAATTATAATACACTGGGCTGGTCATAATATGACCCGTTCTCAAGCAAAATTATCAACTGAACAGAAATAGAAGTCTTTGTTTAACAATGAGATAAGCCACTGATAAGTGAAAACAATATAGCCCACAAAGAGCATTTTAAGCTGACTGATTACAAAATGAAGGGTGCAAAATTCCACAAGTGATATAAACCTTTAAATACAGAAGTTTGTAAGTCAAAATTAGTTCAGCACCTGAGATTTTCCTTTAGAAAGCAAAACAGAGACACTTTCTTTAGAAACATATAATACAATCAACTCCTTTGCTCTCAGTGTTGCATCAGAGTAATTGATCAGAGTTGAAATACACATAATGTTCTAGGTTTTTAATTATGCCCTGAAGATAAATGGACTAGCAAAATAGATTCAAGATTTGATCCATGTGCATTACACAACTGTTTTACAAAAACATTTTTTTTATCAGAACTGGAATAGATTTCATCTACTGAAGTGTACTGATGAAACTGAATTTAAAGAAAAGTCAAAGAACAGCATGTAACTTGAGTAACGTTGACAAGGAAATAAGATTACTGAAATAAGAGTGTTTGAACAAAATGTAATAATCTGCTATGCAGGCATGTAGTTTTACAGACAACTAATCTATTTGTCTTCACTTTCAGTTAAAATACTATTGGAAGGAAACCCTTTCCTACTTTCACTTAGGTAGCTGGGAAATGATATTTATCTGTGTTCCGCTCTATGTGATTTCAATTTCATGATTTTGTATGTCTAGTTACCTACCATTCTCAAAGTAACCAACCTACTGCATACCAGCCTTAAAATAGAAACTTTCCTTTTTTTAATCTCCTGGCTTTGAAGCTTTTAAGTAAATGTGTATTCTATTTAACCCTCGAACACTTGGACCCCAGAACAAACAACAAAAGCCTCAGCAAAGTACTGCTCTGAGGAGTACATGGTAATGTTGCTCTAATGTGACCCAATTTTATTTATGAAGACTATTTGTCAAAAGATATGCAAATTAAGATTTGAAGTATTGGAATATGAGGGATGTTCCTTTCATTCTAGAAATGCTTTCATCAAATAAAAGAGACTGTACACTTGGTTTTACTTATTCGCTTAGTGAAATTGTAAATAAACTGTTAAGGTTTTTTATTGTTATTTTTTAATCAAGATTAAGCCTCCCACCACAATTAACTATTTGCAATTTTATGAAACTGTTGTATCTCTGAAAAGCAGCCAAGCACATCTCTTTGCCCTTTAATTTCTAAGGGGGCTATCAGTAGTAAATTTAGGAAGAAAAGCTTCAGAAATTATATAATGAAAATGCTTCCTTTTTGCTGCTCAAAAATTTGAGCGCAGTAGAACGCACTGCTGAATCACCTAAACCCCCCCCAAAAAACAGTCATTCTTAATCCCATCAATTCTTTTCTCAATAAAAAGTGCAGCAGAGTTTTCAAAAAACAAAGAGGGGCTAGAGGGCATAATCCTCTCCATCATACAAAAAAGAAAAAAAAAATTCCAAGCCAAGAATATTCTTTTCAGTGCAAACACTGCAGTCTTCAAAAAGTTAAGAGTACAAATATTTACATTCCAGTGTATCCTTACCTACAAGGAATGCTGTTTCACATTAGAAAGCATGTCCAATACCTTTAATCCAATCAAAATATTAAAGTTTACTTTCTCAAATCAATATAGTGGCTGAAACCCAAGTGTTTACATAAGCAGTAAAACTTTCTGAAGAAACTAATGCACACAGCTGAAAGTTCTCTCAAACACCAAGGGCAAAGACTGCAAATGCAGCTGCTGGTCCTTAACCAACTTCAGTATAACATGCCAAAATGTAACCAGCCATTAATGGGGACTGAACAGTTTTCTATACTAGCATCTTAAGCCCTTGACCCCTTTCATAATTCTACAAGGCATATAGAAGCTAGCTGCAGATAACTCCTTATGCTAAACTCTTCTTGAGTGAACACAATGTTACCACATGTCCTTCAGTTTTTCAATGTGCAAAGTTAGATTTCCAGAAAAATAATTCAAATTTATAGAACATGTATGTAACGCTGCAGAGGGAGATGAGTATGTTATTTTAATCATTCAAAATACGCTCAGGAACTTTAAGAAGTATTGTGCTTCTAGAAGTACTAGCTGGGATTCCATTTGAAAAAGGCACCTATCACACTTCCTTAATTAGCTGCCCGCTTTAATAATTTTGGTACTATTTGTTACAGTACATCAAAAAAACAGCAGCATAAAGCATTAGGTGGACAAGAAGTTTATATTTGTTCTCCTTTAAAAAGAAAATATTTAAAATGAAAGGCACTCAAGACAAAAACTCTCTCTCCAGTTCATATATAGACGGCCGGCATGTTTTGCTCTTCATTCGACATAAAGGCACAGTACAGTCTCTATTTTGACCTTCCACATCAATATCAAGTAATGAGGGCATGTGGCAGTTAGTTCTTTCCTCAGTGTCTGGCAAGAGGTGAACGTCTGGATCCGTACTGCCCTCTAAGCATTTGGAGTCTTTAGAGTTTGGTTTCATAATATGCGGAAGAATCTGCCATGGATCAATTTTACTTCTAACAGAAGAAGGTCGAGGCCTTGATATAATATTCATAGCTCTTTGTTTTTCATTTGAAATACCACAGTGGTTGCTGCTTCTTTGAAGAGACGGAGAATGTAGAGCTCCAGTAACTGAAAGAATGGGCAACTTGGAGACATCATCGGTTGAAGCAAATCCATTAGCTGACAGAATGAAAAGGTCAGACAAACAAGAGAAGAATTTAAACTCTTTGCCTCCTTGATTTCTTTGCCATTTGCAAAACTGTGTTACCACAAGCATTAATGATTTTTTTTTTCTTAAAAAAAGAAAAAATTAAGACATTCATATACATTTGTGGGGAATTTCCTAAAGAAGGATCAGCGGTGCTCAATGAAATCTTTCTTCTATACTTTGTTAGAGAATATAACAATTTCTATGTCATTGTTAGAAACAAGAAAAAGAATTAATCATCCAGTTCTTGGATGAATATTAACAGTAGAATACAGCCATCAATATTTGTCAGGTTGTTATGAATAATTACATACGCACAGATATTACATTTAAGCCACTACAGAACACCAGTAGTGCAGTTTAGAACTCCTGCTCTTTTCAAGAATTCATTAACTATGAACAAATCCACTTGCACCTTAACCAAATTTAAAGTCATTTTTAAATTAATTTTTTTTAATCAACAGCTTAGCTCAAAGATTAGCGGAGTATAAGACAACTCTTCAGTCAAACAAGCAAATCAAATCATATCAGATTCTCTCTTCTTGAACTTAAAAATGTATAGTATTATAATGATGCTAATTCCCTCACATATGCAGACTGTGAAACAAGCAAACATTTCTCTCAGTGTTATGAATTTTTCACACAAAAAGCATGTTATTGCTGACAAAAAAGCTAGGGAAATCTGTTTTTGCAATACCTGAGGAAATAACTGTTCCACTTGAATCTTAGTAATACCTTCCCTGTAACAGGATACTATTCCAAGTGCAGATAGCTTAGGGTTTGGACACCTAAAGCTTAACTGCATACATTTATGAAGGCTGACCTAACACTTGAACATATGATAAACACCCAGTCAGTAGTGAATGGTTAGTTCCCCTACATTTTCTGTTTCTGAAGTTAACAATCCCCCCACATTTTAAATTCTCAATCACCTACCTGTGGTGTGAAAATTGTTCCCATCTGATAAGGTTCGTCTATGACTCAACACACTCGTCTTCACTGAGGAAGCATTTGGAACTTTTTGAGAATCTTGTTGCAGACACAGATTAAAAGGCTGATTTTTTAATCGTGCAGAAACTGTATTAGGAGCCATCTGTATTCTCTGTTCTCTTTTATTTTCATAAGTTTCATAAGATAAAAAGTCCTCATTAGAATTATGTGGATCACAATCACCAAGCACACTGCTTACAAACGCGTCTTCACTGTCAGACTGAAGTAGGCATTTTGTGGAAATGGAGGGCATAGAGAGAAGATTCACAGTACTTGCTGCTGGATTTAAGGATGGAATACCCGTTTCCTCTTTTTTGGACTGCAGTCTTGTAGGGCTCGCACTCCTGCGAAATTTTGAAGCACGCTGAAATATTCCATCACGTTTCTTCTTCTCATCTTTAGGCAAGAGTTCATCTGGACCTTGTGATTTGTTCAGCTCTCTAATATCCAAGCCCAGAGCAACAGATGCGAGGAGGACTGCACAACCATAAAGAACTGAATCAGTCTTCTTCTTCTGCAGTGTTCTGCTCAGACTGTTTGTAGGTGTCATTTGAGGAGTACTATTTGTAGAACTGGCAGAGGTTCCTTCTTCAAAGCTTTCATGTTCTACTGTATTCTCTCCTTGATCATCCTTCCAAAGAGGTAGGTTAATATAGGCCTGACTTGGCAACTTAATTGACTTTGGTCTTTTACTGTCCAAACTTTCAGGGAGAAGTTTCTTATCAGTGCACACATCTGAAAAAAATTACAACATACTTTAGAATTACAATTCAACTATTTCACGTATATCCGCATATGTACACCAGGATTTCCTCTTACTTGCAGTTATCAATTTTGAGATTTGTATGCTCCCCTTAGATGTAGTCAGAAGATCAGAGAGACTCACATTTTGAGTTTTGAGTTCACATTCTAAGCCTAAACATTTTCAGGTTTTCTATTTAGTCTTTAGAACATATGAAGTACTATTTCATTACAAATGTCGTACTTCACGTAACTCAAAAGGCAAACTCTAGCAGGAGCAGCTTGCAAATGAATCTTAGCGCATAAGCTTAATTTTTAGAAAGGAAAAATAGATCTTTCAAACTTCAGCAGAATATTGCTTCTGCATGCTTTTGGTAGTGCTTTTTAGACCACATGAAAAATATTTTCATGTATGCTTTACAGTTATTTGATTTAATAAACATAAAGTGACAGAGAAGATCTGGAACAGATTCTTTGCAACACTTTCAATGAAGCTGTGTTCCAAAATCAAATGAATTGCTAGAATATTTTCCAATTAATTACGTCTGAAGTAAGGAGCAAATGTGACATTTCACACCTAATGACAAAAAAAAATGGAACGTGCACATAGCTCACATGATTTATTCTATCGGAAACTATTGAGCACTATAGAACAAACATGGAAATATTTGAAATATGTAAACTTGTTCAGTCTTCTCTGGATGTAGGGGTTTACTACATGCTAGTAAACCCACAGAATTGCTCTCTGTTTAGTCTATGAGTTTTTTTTGTTTTTGTCTGTTGTTTGTCTGTCTGTTTTTTAATAGTCCTACCAGTACACATGAGTCTTTTTTTCCTCAACAAAAAAACCAAAACCAAAAAACCCCACCAACATCCAAGCAGCTTACTATTTTCTCTTCCAGTTGACATAAATCTATAGCTACTGGACTACAAGTTATACCACAGTTGTTTCTTTGTTTTTGCTTTGTTTTTCCTGATAGCAGTATTTTTTCCAGTTATCTGTCATACAGAAAGCACACATAAATGTGAAAATTATAATGAATACTGAATAGCTAAAGCACATTCTAGGAATGGACATAAAATGCAATATCTTGTTTGCTGTATTTCAAGATAATATATTCCTTTTTTTTTTTTCCTCGTGGTTTCTTGTAAATCCCAAAATGTCACGTAACCAACTTAAAGATTTGCAATCTACTTTTTTTTTTTTCCTTGAACATTTAAAGAATAAATATTGCTAAAATAAAAAAATAAAAAAATAAAAAAAAAAATCAGGAAACTAAGACCTGGAAAAATATGAAGACTTACAGGTTTTAACTATAGTTTTAAACTGAGTACACAGAGGCCACTAACAATAGCACTCATCAATGATTATTTAAATGCCAATGTATTTATTTACAGAAGAATCTAAACAGCAGTGACCACAGACCTAACATACAGATCAGCCTGACAACTCAAAAACATGGAAAAAGTCTGCATGCTATGGCAGACCTCATGCAACCTGTCTGTTAGCTGTTAGTAATAGAAAGCTAAAGATTACTTCACACTTAGCGTTACAATTTTTTTTTTTATAATTTGAATTATATCTGTAGCATTAGAACTTTTAATAACGTGCACAATATTTGAGGAACAATGTGCTTTGTAACTCTGGAACAGACATAATGCCATCATGTGGTAATTTCCATTTTTTCCAAACACAGCTCTTACCTTGGTCCACAAACAGCGAAGCTAGAGGAACACCCTTCTGATTTTTCATTACAAGTGTTGACCAAGGGTTGCTGCCATCTGAAAGGGGTCTTATTCTGAAACAATGATAGGTACTTTGATATTTCAGATGATACTGTGCTTACATACTTAAAAAAGAAAGAGGTTACTTTTCCTTTCAAACTATAAACAGTTATATAGAACTTGAAAACAGAAAAGCTTTTCAAAGTTAAAAAAATGCATGTAAGAAATAGCATAGAGTGTTAAGACTATAAATTGATAACATAGCTTAGGATCAGGAATTTATACTAACAAGAAAGTTTCAGGATATGATAGGCTAAAAAAAAAAAAAAAAACTAAAAGAAAAATGGACCTTAACTATCGACTGAAGAACAAAAGTCAGTGAAAACCTGGACAACAGACGCACTCTCAAGGAAGCGACACAAATATAATAAATTACAATCAGAATCACAAACAGTGAGTTTTCAAAGAAACAAAAATAACAAAGCCAGTTTCAGTAGGATGGTCTGACTAGCTTACTAACCAGGTAAATGAATGGATGTCTTCACACACACACACACACACACACACACACACACAAAAAGGACGCACTGAAGTTACTGTATGAAGAAAAGGAAGAGGGTCTTTTTCATCATAAAATAGCCAACCTCAAATTTTCAGCAATCAGAAAAAAAAAATCTGAAAATAAACGTGCTCAGCTGACGCTCAGAACCCTCTTAACCTGTGCTGGTTAATGTGAGTGATGCTGCTGGTGAGTACTGTGCTTCACATATGCAGTCATTCTTATGTGATTGCACTGGAAGATATTACTGAGGGCTGTGCTTGCAGTTCTTCAGCACAGTCTGAGGAAAGGCAAGAAATCACCTACTACAGTGAATTAGTTACCAAGGATGCCTAGTATTATCAAAGAAAATGCAGTAGACATACTTGTCCTTACAATCTGCACGATCCTTTGTTTGAATTGAACTTGGTCCCCATGTACAACCTCTCTTTTTAAAATTTTTCTTCACTTCTTCAAACTCTTCCTGGTGGTAAGTTGTGCTCCTTCCCCAAGTTTTGTTGCTTTCATCTGAAGTTACTGAAGATTGGATTTAAAAACACAAAAAACCTTCATGTAAGTATATATACTACAAATATATATCTTCGTACACATTGACAGAACAGCCTTTCTCTACCACAAAGCCATTCTGATACAGTAACAGAAAGAGTAGTAAACAAAATTTGAGGCTTTCTCTTTCACAGAAAACACCACACAAATCGCACTGAACCAACAAGATGAGCAAGCAAGAAAAACAATGTATGAGCTGACAACAGACCCACATTAAAGGCAAAATAACAAAATTATCTGCTCCCTTTAACTGAGAACCTTATACTTAGGTATTTTAGACAAGTGAATTAGACTGAGCACTTAAATTCCAGTGAAGAAAATATACGCTGTGGAATAATTGGTATCAACTGAAACGATATTCCAATTGTGAGAATGATTAATATCTTCTCTCATTAAAAGTATGATTTGTTTGGGTGTAAAGCATCAGTTCTTCATTAAATGCTTAGTCCGTCACTTCAGGTCAGCTGTGAAATTAAACAGAACCAGCACCTTTGAAACATAATAAAATCTTGCCTTTTTTCATAACCCCACTGGGAAGTTCACATTCACTTGTGATATCTACATCTTGCTGGTACACATATACACTGTTTCTTCGGCCATTAGCTGTGTGTGTATCTGTACTGGGAATCACTGAAGAAAAATTAAGAGATCTTAGTCAAGCTGGTTTCAGAAAGGAATCTTTTTTCCTTCTTCTGGTCGTAAAGCCCAAATCTAAAAAGGCTCCAAGCATCTTTTAATAGAGGGTTTGTACTGTAGGGTTTACAGGTTCCTCTTTCTAGGATCAGTCTCAGACAAGTAGACTTCTGTATGTACTAACTGAAGAAGTAACTTGACAGCAACTACTCATGCTTACAGCTATGATGGAGATGAGAAAAAAAAACCCAGTAACTTAGCTTGTTACAACAGCATGATTAATGAGGCAGTTTTTTTCTTGCCAGCTGTTCAGTCACTCCTGAACCATTGCACTCTTGTCCTCCCTCACCATACACAGCTGCTTGTGTAGTACAGCAAACTACCTGCCTTCTTTAAACTCCCTTATTTCAAACAGTTTCAGGACTACTGAACATGTATTTTTTTTTTCTCTCCCTAAAACAGCTTTTAAACATAGCTGAACTTGATTTTAACCACAAGATTTACAATTAACTAAATTTTTATTTTAAAATACAAAGCATTTACATTCTGAAGCTAGAATTGTTGATGACAAAGCAAAGCAATCAAGCAACCAATTGTTAGAAATGCCTGCTCAAATCATCTCTGTTCAAAGAAGTCTTCTTGAAACAAAGATACTTAGAAGTGAAATCAAGTTAAAACATTATTGTGGGAAAGAATTTATTTTGCACAGGTGCAGATGGGTGTGGAAGCTGAATTGTTTCACCTAGATACTCCTGATAGATGTGATATGCTTAGGGATCTAAAATCAAAACCAGAAGATTGCTTCTTTTAAAGGAGAGCCTTTATGTCATCCTTTATGCTCTAATCCTACGAAAACAAACGCCTGCTCAAACAGAACAAAAAGTCTCCAGCAGCACTGAGCACTTACGCAAAGATTTAGACTGGCACTGCTATCATTTACACAGACCAGGAATCACAAAAAAAAGAAAAAAGAAAAAAAAAAAAAACAAAAAACAGCAAAACCCACTACCTACAAAAAAAAAAAATCCAAAAACCAAAAAACCTCAAGCTTTCAGAATTGTGCCAATACCAGCAATTTACTGCACTTCCAAGTACTTCTATACGGAACCAGGAAAATAAAAGAAAACATGACAGTCTTGTCTATATGTAGTCATGATATTTCACAAGGGAAAACCTCTCTGTACTTCCTGCAGTAAGTAAGACTTAAGAACTCCACAAAAAAAGCTCACCACAGCTTTCCTCATAGAATTTGCCTTCAATCTCAAATTTTCCATCTCTCTCCGTTACACACAACATATGGGTAGTAACAGTATTTACCCAGTATTTACCCAGTGAACTGTGTGAGTTCTGGCAACAACAATTCTGGTATTTATTCAACTGGAAAAGGCAGCACTTCACCTTCAGAGAATAATTAATAAAAAGGTCTTCATAAAGCAGAGATATTTCCAAAGAAGAGAGATCTGGTTTCTATCCAAGTTTTGGAGTTTCAATTAGGTTCAAAAAATGAAACAGAAGCCTGTGAACTAGCTACAAAACAGCATGCAGGAAAAAAACAAAACTAGCATGCATGTTGATTTCTCATCTTCCATATGCATGTCAGATACAGATTCTGAATTACTTTCCTTCAGAGAAAACTCCTTTGGCAACAATAGTTAGTCCACATCCATAAGCAACCAGTTGGCAAGTGTTCTACTGATATTAAATAGAGAGAAACTTCAGGCTTTTCCATCTCATGTAACATTTCACTTTAAATAAGGGCAACCAGACAATCTACTCTGCACAACAGTTTAAGCAGTATAAAAGCAGGCAATGAATCACATAAGAATTTACCCCATTTACATACAGTCATCTCAAATATAAAGGTGGGCTTTACTATAAAAACATGACAGGTTTCCTTCCACATTCATAACTGCTACCTCCACTATTCCTTCTGTCACCACTATACAGAGAATAATTAGATTGTCAAGCACAAGAACCATTGTTTTTATTTTTGTTTCTGTAAGATGTAAGATTTCATCTTTATTTTCTTCTGTTTTTATATTTGCTTACAGTTTACTTTTCTTTTTTCCTGAGCAAGCGGAGTTGCTGGTTGATCAATCCGCTTTTCCAGCTTATGAGACTGCTTTATTCTCTGAATATTATTATTTATTTTCAAACAACTACTGATTTCATTTAGCAACTGTAGTAAACTTAATAGAAATTCGTTTTCCATCCTGAATAACATTTGAAGCATGTTTTGCATTTTGCCATTGTAATTTTTGATTGTTTGGTGTTTTATCTACGTCTGCATGCAAATGAATTCCATAAGTTATTAACAAAATATATGATTTAAAACATCCATAGCTGTTCTGAGTTGCTGAAAATTAGTATTTTAGCAAGATTTTCTTTCCCATCAAACAACAGCTTGCAGAAGTTAGAACAAGCAAAGGAACCTGGTGAACAAAAATCTGTCTGAAATTGATAACACTACCAATGTGTTCCAGTGAGAGTATGAAAAAAAACATTCTGTACTGACTAGACGAACAATCAGAAATGTTGGAGACTTACACTGTATGGCTCGAAGACGAGGAATTATTGTGGGGCTACTTGATGGACTAGAACTGTTACTGTTTAAACTCCTCCTTTTATCCAGATTAGGAGATGCCTGCACTGTTATTTTGTGCTGGAAATCTATTAGAAATAATTTAAAAAAAAAAAATGTTCTAAATAAAGAATGTTCAATAGATTGTACTGTTGTACTAAATCAATTAAAATTATATAATGAGTTACATTTGATAACACAAGAGATGTTCATACAAATATATTGACAAATTCTGATCCTTAATGCAACAAATTGTTTCACACCCTCGCAGACTCTGTACAATAGATTTGCAGTAACATCAACAAAAGGAGCTACATCCAGTTGGATTCAAAACTGAGACATATACAGATCACAAGCTGTTATTCAAAAGGTTTTGCTGTCACAAAAGGTAAACAAATACATTGCATTAAAGAGGTCATATTCATCAAATTTGTAGAAATTCAAGACACCAAAATATAGGATTACCAATATTTCCATCAAAGTAATAAAACAAATATTGGAAAGGAAAAAAATGTAATGAAATTAAGTTTGATCATATGCCCTTCTTTAATCCCTATCAACAGTGCAATTATAGACTGAATGTTTTTCTTACAACAGAACTGTCTCTAGGACTTGTTAATCTTGATGATTCTCGACAACAAAGAGCTAAGCAGTACTCCAGATAAAACTTTCTCAAATAAGATATGGGCAGAATCAAGAAAAAAGAAACAAATATTAAGTTTAAGCTTGTGATTCAGCTTAAACCAATACTTAAAACTTTGAGCAGGATCATATGCCTTTCTGGGAATTTTGTAGTAATTCTGTTACTGTAATTTTTAAAGCAAGTGAAATGGGACAGCACTTTCAGCATTAGTGAAACATGCCTAAATATTTGTGCATTCTTTGTCTCTTCCCAGGTACCAGACAGTTACAGTTTGGTCCACACTGAGTTAATGTAGCATTAGGTACATGGGGCATTAGTAATAAATTAACAGACTCAGAAACTACTGGAAGGATCCAGCCGCCTCCAGAGTACTACTAACAATGGTGAAGGCTCGCAAATCATGGGCATAATCTTGAGTTTGCCTGCTGACATCTAGTGGCAATATTAATAAGGCAACACAATCAATCTGACAACAGCTTAAATCTTTAAGTTCTCATGCTTTCCTTCCAGAAACAGTGGATTTGATTGAATCAGGTGAAAGACTGCTCAGAGATAGGGACTACCTCAAAAAATATGGCATGTAACAGTGGTTTTTACCACATCCTTTGCACTTATTTGGGGTAGAAGAAACTAGAAATGAATGAAAATATCAGCCAAAACTGAAAACTTTAACCACTGAAGCCTGCTTACTTAATCATAATATATGTTGTGAACATAAAAGAAAACTGCAAACCTGAAGGCAAACTAATTCTGTGTCCATCTTTAAGTTTTAACCGGCTTCTTTTAAATTTGCCCTTTCTCTTCTTTACATTGGGTTTCTCTTGATTTAACTGGAATATCATGATGTTCAGTTCACGCTCCAATACATCGATCTCACGTTCTGCTAACTGTTGCTCACGCCGTTTAAGCAGCTCTTCTTGAGATTTTTGCTGAAGAGCTGCTCTTGTCAGCTCTTCTTCTCGTGATCGAAGCTCCTAAAAATAAGATTTGCACAAGTGAAACTGAGTAACAGTGTAAAAGCTGTATTAAAGGATGTTGCAAGTATTCAGTAAGTTGTATTTCCTTATGTGTTTCACGATATATATTTAACACACACATACGACCTGACAGTTGACCACTCTGCATAAGTGAAGATTCTGTATCTGGATGCAAACAAGCATTATACAGATTTCCTTTGAAGCATTTAACTTGAGATACTTAAGCTAGGTAAGCACTGGAAACGGGGACAACATATCAAACCAGAGATTATCAGCTTACAGCCTAGCACAAAATGTGCTTTAAGTACTTCACATCAGAGACTCTCCCATCCCACGAGGGCTTCTCTTAGATAACTTCCATACACTAAATAAAAAAGAATGACCTGATGAAAACAAGTGAATGCATTCATCTTAATTTTCCTAACCTTTCCTGTTTTTCAACCATGTATTAGGCTTTTTCTATCTGAAAAAGCAATCAGTATTATAATGAATGGGAATTAGTGTAATAGGATAAACTAAGTCATAAAACAGAAGACAGCTGTTTCTTAATTAAAAAGCAGCACATATCTGTGTAGCATCAAATAGCTAACCACTGAGTTGCACCACATGGACTCTCAAACTATCAAACCCATGCAATAGTTGTTCTTTTGCCTTTTAGATTTTATTTTTATCTTTTCTCCTTTCTCGGAAAAGCATTAGCAAGAAAGCTCATTAATTTTTAGGGTAAGTAAATTCCCAAGGGTAAACTACTAAACAACTGTAATCCTACAACCAGAAAATGATCTTAAACTTAAAAAAAAAAAAAAAAAATCTGTCAAAATATGCCTGAATTTTAAGAGTTGAGAAAAGGAGAAGCTATGATGTGACTGATACTATGTTTCTCACTGGATAACTTGTTCATTTTAATGGATGACTGTGCAACATCTGTCCAAATTGTAATTCAACTGAAAATAGAAGTTCAGCAACAGAAATCAAGCTATGCTAAGAGTTCTAGATATTTAGGAATCCTTTTTTCTCTAATTAAAACTCATTAATTCCATCACCATACATTCTTCCTATAAAAGGAGAGCAGACTGCATGTTTCTGGCCATCAGTATCCACCAGCGTCATATACTAGCACTATTCCTCATCTAACATCCAGCATTTATTGAAATACTACCAGCATAAAGCAAATATCTACTCTTTCAACACTCCTTCCAAATAAGGTGGCCTCTGAACTGTATCAATTTGATGTTCTCAAACAAGCGCAAAAACCATCCCTCTCTGTTCCTGCCTAAAAGGCCATGGATTTCAGAAAGACAGTTTACCGCTGAATCAAATCAAACTCTGGTTCAGTGAGAAGCAGCTGCTCCTCAGAGAGATACTTGTTCTTTCATTACAATTAGCATACACGTACTGCTTATCGCTGGTTTCAAATTTAATTTAATTGACTGACACATTTTAGACAGCTTGCTAATTCTGAGTGAGCCTGTTTCAACACAACTTTTTCAAAAAAGTATTTTTTTTTTCCTTTTAAATCCATTCTTCTTAACATACACACCTTGGCAAAAGGTAATTATGCCTCTTGGGAATTCAAAGGGGCCTGTCTTCGTGCCAGCAAGTAAAATTTTGGGTGTTTAATCACTTTTAACACTTCTTAATTTAGAGGTTACTGACAATTTTTACTTTTCTCCTCCTTCTGTCCAGTCAAAATTGAACAAATAAAAGAGTTGGAAGCAGAAGACAGATGAATTAAAATTTAGGATAAAGGTAGGATGCCCCATCCCTGGAGGTGTTCAAGGCCAGACTGGATGGAGCCCTGGGCAGCCTGGTCTAGTATTAAATGGGGAGGTTGGTGGCCCTGCATGTGGCAGGGGGGTTGGAGATTCATGATCCTTGAGGTCCCTTCCAGCCTTGGTCATTCTGTGTGATTCTGTGATAAAGGTACATAAGAGTTTAAAATAGAAAAGATGTTTATTACTACAAAGGTTTGGGAGATACTCTTCACTATGCACTTCTCATTCTCAATCCCAGGACATAAAGCTCAGTAACAAGGAAAAAACTGAAGGTCTGTACTGAAAAGGCAGACAATCTAGAAAATGAAAGCGTTTCCTCATTGAGAGTTTTAGTATTTACTCTTTTCCAAATAAACTAATTAAAGACAGACCTACTGCAATTAGTTATGCACCACTCTCCAATTACAACACTCATTATAAGGAAGCTAGGAAAGAGTTCTATATTTAAGTTGCTCAAGAATGCTCATCACAAAAGATTGCAATCTTTCCTTGAAGTGGGTGTCACCATCACTCATTTACAGCAAGCCCTTGAGGAAATTCCTCCAGCTACAGAAGTTTCTCCTTCACAGGGAATGAGACTCCACACAGGGTTGTTGTTGTTGTTCTTTCTTCATTTTATTATAATCATTATATTAATGCTTCATAAACTTGACTCTCCCTAGTATCTGTCAGTGAAATTGATAATGTGTTAAATTAAGCAAGCACAAACATTTAATAACTTGTTTAAGTTAGAGTTATATGCTTTCATTCTTCAACAAGTTTACCTAATTAGGGCAGATGCCTTTGGACGTGCAGTAATTTGGCATATGAGAAGTAAATTTCATTAATCTTTTCCTCTCCCTAATTAAGCTTAATTCACTTTTACATCAAAAATATAACTCTCCCCACAAAAATCTGTGCTAACTAATACTCAGCTTGATTTAGTCAGTGGGAGTTTCTTCAAGAGAAAATCTCATGCTGGACAAATGCCTCCAGAAAATAAACACACACCTGAATGGGAATGCCTTTTCCTGTTCTAAGCGCTCCCATAGCAAAAAGGAGAAAATGGCTGGTTGAGCAGTCACTGCAGAGGGAAAAAACAAAGGCAGGCCCTATGGAGGGTTCTGGCAGTGGCTGGCGGCCTCACAGCAAGTGAAAATGAGAGTCTCTTCTCTTCGTAGAGGGACCATAATTCAGCTGGAAAGGAAGAAATCTGACAGCTAGAGAGACACATAGCCCAGCTCCAACAATGTGTAGGCAGGGAGCATATGGATAACATGGCTAACACGTGCTCAATTCAATGACATGAAATGGAAGAGGGAAAACCAGAGGGCAGGAACAAAGGCAGACTGGAAATAAGGAAGACTATTATTGAGAATACTACAAACTTGGCAGCAATTGACAAATCTGAATAATCACATGCACCGATGCCACTACAGAAGATCCACAACATCACATCCACCATCATCTAATAGCCCACAAGTAGCCATCTGCGGCACTTGGTAAAAAGAGGTGTGGGGCACAGTCAACATTTAAATGTCTGATTAATAAGCATTTCTCTACAAATCCCTGCGTCTCAATTCTCTTCTGTACTTATTATGTATTTGCTTAATGAAAAATAACAATGTACACCAGGCAATTGTATTATTGCAAGAGATCTGCAAGGAAGACATCCATGTCTGCCAGAAGCATTTCTAACTGTGATTCAAAAGGACAACTAAAAACAAAACATGAAGACAAATAGCTTCAGACACTGCATCCCGGAGTTTTAAGGAGAAACAGCCAAAAGATTCTGGACTGATGGCCTTGACATTTAACAATACTTAGGAGGAAGGTGAAAACAACAACAACAACAAAAAAACAACAGGACAGAGAACAGATAACTAGGATGGTAACCAACCACATACATCTATCAAGTTGATAGAGTTCACATGCACTGTTCGATGAAAATTACAGAACAAGATAATTAAGGCCAGCCAGCTTGCCTACAAGATTTTTTTTTTTTTCAAAGTAGGAGACAGGTCTAGCTGGTTAAAGACAATGTTTGTTAATAAATTCTCACACATCCATCAGAGTAAATTTTCACATTTGGTACTGCTCTAGTTTCTAAATGAAATGGAAAAAGAATTGAATGGCCAGCTACTATAGTTCAAAAGCGTAATTAAATGTGAACATTTATGTTAAAATGGAGATATTAAGAGTGATCTCAAAAAAATCTGTGATTTACTCATAGCTATTAACCATTTTGAATTTATGGAAATAAAAACCATGAAAACTTGCAGTGGCTATAAAAAAATGAGTAAAAAAACCTCTGGTTTGTTTGATAATGCATTTGATTTGATGCATCCAAATACTCAGGAAAAAAACAACACTCTAAGAAGTCTATAAGCCTGATCTGCAAACCATTTTCTCTGGGGAAGCAGGTGGCATATGTTGCTTTTTCAACTGTATTTCTGAATGAACTAATCACACCATAACCCTCACTCACCAATAATACTGCTTCCTAATAAACTTAACATTTTTATTCAACTGAGGTACCTCTAATTATGGTTTCAGCATTCAGAACTGTATTGATTTGTTTACAGAAAAATGGAGAAAAGCAAGTTGTCTGCAATTCAAGAAAACCAATAATAAAACCTTTTGTTCTTAAGTAAGCTCGCTGCAAGACGGTTAAAGTGCTGTCAAGAAAATACTGATGAGAAACATTAATGGAATTTAAGAATAGTACATTCACCAACAAAAATAGGTAATTAAAGTAACAACTTGTTTTAATGAGAATAAATCTTCTCCATGTAGTTTATCCTCTCGCTTGTGTCTCACTAGCTAAATCAGGTTTCTAGCATTATTTTGAGAAGCTACAATTCAAATATCTAAATCTGTTGTATCACAATACACGTACCACTCCTTCACTGCCATGCAAATGGAAAACGAACTTACTTTTTCCTTGGTCCTCAATTCATTGAATATCTGCTGAATTTCCAATTTCCAGTCGTCTTGCATGGAATGGAAAGATTCTTGAGGCATTTCAGTCATTACTGCCCCCTCAATGGCAGTAAGCTGTTCAAGAATTATGGCAAATGATGGTCGGATATGAGGGTCCTGTTCCCAGCATTCTAGAATTTATTAGAATCCCATCAGTGCTTAATAGTACATACAACTTTTTGAAGAATAAAACTGAATTTCCAGTTACTTGCTATTGTACTTTAAGCTATGATACACTATAACCTTCTTCTGCAAGGCTTCCCTAGTTCTGTTTCCCTAAGTGATATCTACCTATCTGTCCTCAAGACCGGTTTTAGTTAATAATCAGATTTTTTCACCTCAGTCTTTAGGATCTCAAATAGCTGAACTAGCAGTACTACATAGAAAAGGTATTTATCAAAAGGTAAAGAGACTATATATGAGGAAACACCCATTAGTGAGCAAGAGTTTTTTCTCTCTAGAGCATGTCAAAAACATTTTTTACTTTCACAAAAAACAATGAGAAAATGCTATTTTCAGTTCTTCCCTTTGGGAATTTATCATATCTATCTTACACTGACCCATATTTTAGGAAAAATTAATGCAATTTGAGTGTAAAAACAAATCATTAAAATTAGGGAAAAAGTATACTCTGTGACCACTGAAAAATCTAAGTGGTGTACTTCAATACTGCATGACTTGTGCATAAGCATATAATAGTCTGTTGCACCAGACTGCCTCTAAAAGAACAAAGTATTTTATATGCACTGCATTATAGAATATGGTGCTTATTTTGAATTCTATGACTATTACAGCCACTGATACATACCCCAAGCCCCTAATTATTTAAATAAATAGGTAGAAAAAAAAAACACATATACCTTTCATTAGTTTTGCAAATGGTTCAGGACAAGTGGATGGAATGGGCAAAGTAAGCTTATTGACAGCAACTCCATAAGCCACAGCAAGGCCATCAATGCCACGGTAAGGAACTTCTCCTGTAAGCAGTTCCCACAGCAACACTCCATAACTACAAAAAGTAATTTTTAAATGGTTATTTTTCAGAACACTGACACCTTATTTTATCAAGAACAAACAAGTATGTATTCAACCATGTACTGAAATTCTTGATGATTTTCCATGTCAAAGGGAATGCTTTAAAGAGTTCGCACCACTTCAATCATCTCGCACCTTTTCTCCAATACAACTAACCAAATTCAACGTCACTTAGTTGCAATCTTATCCTACTGTCACATGCTAGCTGAAAAAACATGGACATCAAGGACTCAAAATATAACCTGAAGTTACTTCTCTATAAACACTAGTGTCACATAAATCTCAGTTAGGACAAGAAGTTTGAACCAGAGGAAAACAAGTGATCCTTGCACCACCAAAGTCAAACAAAAGAACAAAAAATACTCCACCACCTCAGCAGGGCATTCAGGCCAGACACTTTTCCAAAGATTTCAGTTTCCTAGACGTGCTGGTGAGGCTGCACCTCGAGTACTGTGTTCAGTTTTGGGCACCTCAATACAGAAAGGACATTGAGGTGCTGGAGCAGGTCCAAAGATGGGCACCAAGGCTTGCGAAGGCCTTGGAGAATGTGCTCTATGAGGAGAGACTGAAGGAACTGGGGCTGTTCAGTCTGGGGAAAAGGAGGCTGAGGGGAGACCTTATTGCTCTCTTCCAATACCTGAAAGGTGCTTACAGTGAGAGTGGAGTTGGTCTCTTCTCACTTGTGACAGGACGAGGGGAAATGGTCTCAAGTTGTGCCAGGGTAGGTTTAGGCTGGATATCAAGAAACACTTCTTTACAGAAAAGGTTGTTAAGTACTGCTCCCTAGGGAAAACTGTTTGGATGTGGTGCTCAGGGACATGATTTAGTGGAGGGTTGTTAGAGTTAGGGTAGTATGGTTAGGCTGTGGTTGGACTTGATGATCTTTAAGGTCTTTTCCAACCTGAGCAATTCTATGATCCTATGGTTCTACATGCCTTTTCTCTTTTCCTAATTAACACAGACTAAAACCCAGCATATCTAATCCCTTCTTTGTTATATAAAGGCCTGTTAATTTTTTCTCAATCTTTTCAGATTTGTAGGGAGAGAAGAGTTACACACACAACTAGTTTCCCTATACAGGGAAAGAAAAACAGTACTGCCTCCTATGAAAGGTGCTGGTGAGAACTTTTCTTACCACCACGTATAGAAATCAACAATCATAGACATTCCTATTGCAGCAAGAGTAACCATAAGAATTTCTGCTATGCTTTCCAGTCTAGATGAAAAGCCAGGTGTTGTTTTTACTGTCTTTGGGATTGTACACCCAGTGTTTGCTTAAATGACCCAACCCCCAGCAAAACACTGGAACAGCATGCTAGTTGCTTTTATTTTAGATCTCCTATTCCAATACGACAGAGAAAGTTGTAAGTCTCGGTGATTTTTGTGGAAGGAGGAATTTCTTTAGATGTGAGCCTACGGTGGACTTTTCTAAGAAATGTACATGGCACTGGTGAGAGAGGTAAGGGCTGGGTACTCCTTAACATCCAACACTGCTTCTATGTACCCCACCTAGTACCACCAAGTACTAGAAGTACAACCCCAACTACAGCAGATGTGAATACAAGAATAACAAGAATGTAACTGGTCATTTTTACTGTCACTGCCTTCTTCTGAAAGTCATTCAGCATTGTGTAAAACCTTGAACCACTTGAGAATAAGTAAATAAGAAACAAAGCCAGTAAACTACACAATTTCAGCACAAACAGAACATATTTCTTACATGTTTAGTAACTACACAGGAAGCAGTTTGAACTAAATAGCAGCACTCTGTTTATCTAAGTTCTGTTCATCAATGAAATTTTAGTCACCATAAAAATCTCAGGAAATTAATGAATTCACAGGTTTAACAATGAATTAAAAGCTAAGAAGTACTGTTTATTCCTAAAAAAAAAAAAAAAAAAAAAAAGCAATAAAAGTAAAAAATCTTAGGATTCTTGATCATTGCCCTCTTTTTTTTTTCTAATCTATACATCCACTCATATGCTCAAACTCCAAAGACCAATTTCATTTTAAAATGGTTGTACTTCTGACAATAATAAACACAATATTTTCTGGTTTTATATATGATGGAAAAACTCTATTAAAGATTGTTTTATTTGTGCATTTAGATAAAGCATTAAAAAATAATCTTACACTCTCCCAGCAAGTGAAGATTGGTTTTCATTCAAGGAATTCCCTGGTTCAGACTATTATGTATCTATTTTAGCATGAATTTTGAAGCTAATCAGAATCATAATAAAAAGAAATCATCTTTCACAAAAGACTTGTATCACACCATTAATTTTTGTTACATTTACAGTTTTAGCAGTTTTCCATAGTGCCAAACAGGTGATCGTAACACTTCAACCTCTTTTAGGGAAGGTAGTCTTAACTTCAAGTGCCAAGAGCCAGCATGGGCTGGGGTAGAATTCTACAGATGATTCTAGTCCTCCTGCTTTTGGGAGGTGCTAGTCAGTCCATCATTATCCAGGACAACCACTACTTATTACTCAAAAATGGAAGTTGCTACTTTGTGCATTAAATTTCACCAGCACACATACAGTCATTCTATGCGTACAGTCTGAGGTACTAAGAAATAGTATTTGTAAAAGATTAAGGAGTAAAACCCATCTCCTTTTACATCTTAGGGAAAAAAGGAAAAAAAAAAAAAAAAAAAAAGAAAAAAAAGAACCCCCCCAAAAATACAGGCACTCAAATACACCCAAATTATACATTAAGGTCACAAACTAATGCTTTCAGTAAGTTGTTCCTTAGACAATTTGGCCACTAAAATTTATTCCCCTGCTGTTCAATGTGATCTAAGCCTTTCTTTCTATATCGCATTCCAGAAATAACTTGCTGCTCCAATGTTTTTTAAAAGCTGATCAAAATGGAAGTAATCAAAGTTCTCAAAATTTCTTTTACTTTACAACTCATCTTCTGAAGCAGAGGTCACTATGCACTGCCACATGAATCCCTTTAAAGAGTATACGAACATGCCAGGCAAAGGCAGCTATTCAGCAAGAGCTTTCTGATTTTGTTGAGAACTTGCACTTTCAGGCTTCTTACCTAAGATTGACATACCAAGACTGAAATATGCAATAAATGATGGAAAGATAGGAGTGAAAAAGTGGAATTCCTCTTTGTTGTTTTTGTATACAGTTCCAGACTCCCCAAAACAGTAGTTACAATTTGGGTTTGTGAAGCAGAAGGATACAAGTTCAGGGCCTAGAAAGAACACATTCTGCTACCTAGGATGACACATGAGAAAATGCTGCCTGCAAGACAGTATGAAAACCCTGCCATAACAAACCCCAGCACTGTCTGATTCTGGAATGCTGCTTGCAAATGCAATCATATTTGAGCAGCCTCAACTGCTCAGGATTTTGTTTATTTTTAATAAGTGGTCTAAAGACATCTTGTGGAAACTCAGTACTCAGTATGCGTAACTTCAGTTTAAACTGTTTCTTAAATATATTCTTGTCTTTGAGAGACCCATGCTTACATTTGTAACCCGATGTCTTTAAAATAAAAAGCACTCCAACAACTGGAGTATTACTAGACTTGCAGTATTATTTGTTTGCCTTTTAAAGGAGTAAAGATAAGCAACAGAACAGATTGAGGTGCAGTAAGCAGAAAATCTTTAGAAGCCAAGAAGGACTTAACTATACTGTAAAACAGAGCCTTTCTACTTAAAAACCTCTCCTGTTACAAGTCCATCATTGAACTAAATACTTACATTTTTACAAGAGAGGCGTGCAGGAGAGAAGGCGAAGAAGAGAAATACTGTAGATTCCAAAAATGTAAACTAATGTTGCAGCAGAATATAAAATAATTGCACCAAAGCATACCCCCTCAGATACCTAAAATCACAGCAACAAGACTGGACAGGACCTGTAATTAAGCATGGAATACAGCTGATTAGGGAAAACGCCTACACCCAAACTCCACCCCGCAAAAGAAAAAGAAAAAAAAAAAAGAAAGAAAGAATGGAAAAGAGCGAAGCCAATGATGTTTCTGAACCGGTCATCAACTCAGACTGATGTAAACAACATGCTGAAAATCAGTTGCAGACAAATGGGTGTCAGAAAACAGCAGTGCAGATACAGAATCATCCTGAGAACACCAAAAATGTTACTTCATGCTGTAGAATATCAAGCATCTACACAAAATGAGACCGTATTTAAGAACTATGCAACACAGAGCATGCATAAAAGGCATGAAAAAAGATTGAAGTCCTCCCCTCCTTCCCCAAATAGCTTCCTTAAGATCATTCTCAGAGAAAACACTTTAAAAAGAAACGAAACGGAGACTTTTCAGAGTGAGGCATTGCAACTTTTAAAGGCTATAGCGCAATCACGACTATTCCCCCAAAATACCTTTCTTCAGTACATGTATCCCATACTACGTCACTCAAAAACAGCATCAGTATTGAGAACCATATTATTTATCTGATCCATCAAAATGCCTTTAAGGAGATATTCACAAGCTTAACATAGTGAGGTATGCACTTTCCAAATTAGAGAACACCTTAAAATAATTTTATGTCTCACTACAGTTACTTCTCACTACAGTTTTTCTTCTCACTACAGTTACTAGAAGCAAAATCTCTATGGAGATTAAAAACCAGCTGTTTAATTTTACACATGATCACATTTTAGATTCCTAGAAAGCAGTACAAACTTCAGTTAACATCTGATAAAGTCCTGGTTTGCCAAGTTTTTTTTCTATTAAATGGGCATGCAAGGGGAGGATGGATGGTCCCATTTCTTTAAAAAGAATGAGACTTCTCAGCCATCTGATTTGGAGCAAACATACCATTACTGATCAATCATATGGTAGTACATAAAGAGCGTATCACTCTTCATACTAATATTCAAGATAAGTTACTTAACCAACAGATTTTTAAGGGTTTCTCTTTCTTTCCAAAAATATGGTCTTCTGCTATTTTCCCTCTCTTTCTTTCAAATTTTTAAGTCATGAGTAACTAAAGGTAGATCAGAAGTAGAAGCTGAAAAATTAATGTTTTCCTTAGAACATCTATACCTGCCGTACCCTGAAATAACTTAGGAATCCATCAAGAAAAAAATATCAAATAGAAATTCATTCAAAAACCTCAGCTTACTTCTACTGAATATGGTCTTTATAGTAGATCAACTTCTTACCTCCAAATATCACTTCCTTTAGAAAACAGGGAGGACTTGATAACTTCTGGAGCCATCCATGCGTACGTCCCAGCTGCACTCATTTTGGTTGTTCTGTGCCATTCTCTAGCCAGACCAAAATCTGTAATCTTCAAAGTTTTATTGCAAATGTCATCATGTTCCATCTTCTCTAGCAACAAAACTACAAAAGATTGAGTTTGTAAATTAATTCAATGGGAATCAAAACAAAACTGCCATTCTTGTTATTAATTCCACACAATTTTGATTTCTGCAAATAACTGTATGATCTAAACATTGTGAAAATACTATCAACTTTTTTTAAAAATAAAAACAAACAAGTTTACTGATAAAATTCCAAGTACTTCTAAGTAAAGAGAGAAGTACCTGCAGTGTCACGACTTTCTTGCAATTATGTGAGTAGATATTAAACAAGCACAAGAGATTCACCAAGAAGAGATAGAAAAGAAAGCATCCAAGTTCAAGAGAGCACAGAATAGTAACATCCCACGAATGACAGGTTGTGAAAATGGGATTCACTTTGAAGTAAGATTCTCAAGTAGTAAAAGTAACAGCAGCAGTAGGAACTAAAACAAACGTTAAGAATTTTTATAAAAAGAAAACCTAAAAAACAAAACAGGAAACATCATCTCACTGTGTAAAATCCATCCCTCATACTGCACCCAATCTGGGTTCATCATCTCAAACTGCATATAATAAAACTGGAACGCACAGAGAAGGACACAAGCAGGTTGCTCCCAACAGCCTGTTCTCAGCCCAAAGCGCAGTTAATAGACTCAGGCTCTTCAGCAGGAAAACAAGGTTAGTGACAAACCTGATAGCATGCAGCAAACAAAGAAAGCTGTAGGTAGCAATTGCTCACAGCTTCTGATCAGAAAAAAAAAATTGGACTACATCAGACTAAATTAGCTGGCAAGAATCAAAACCACATGACAGTTGATCACAAACACACAGGGAGGTGAACTTGGAAATTTTTGCCATAGTATGTAACTGCTACCATTTTACATAGATTTTAAAAGAAATTATATGAATTCTCAGAAGACATCTCCGTGCATTTATGTACAAAATACAGGTACAGGTTCAAGAAATCCCCAGGCCACAAATCACTAAAGGTGGGGAAAGCAGACCAGGGAAGTCAGTTTGCCTCAGGAATATGCAACTTGCAGCAGGACACTGGAGCTGGATGAAACCCGCATGGTGTTATACCCATTGTAACTTCACACCCCTTAAAAAGCAAACCATCTTTTGCTGTTCCATCCCACAGTGTGTATTCACTGTCTGACTTGCTCTTAATACTGCTGGCAAACTTGTAGTACAGCTTCATAAAAGAGTATGAAACGGAATGAATAGGCTTACTGTGTTCAAGCAGAGCAAAGACAACAGGTGCAAAAGAATCAGTTTTAAGGCACTACAATCTTAATTCCATATTCAGTGCCTCTGTCACTGTCAGTGCTAGTAACTGTTACTTTTCCATTGCAATGATCTCCTGGGACAAAGCTCAAAGGCTGAATTACTAATAAGAATTATTAATGCATGTGTTTTCCAAGCATGTGTACCATGCAGTTCAAGGCAAAGCACCGGGACAAAGCAGATGAAGAATGATCTTGCCTCACAGAAGAAAAACTGGTGAGCTTGCATTTGCAATCGCAAATCATTTTTAGTGGTACAGCTTAATTACAAGTATTTCAAAAATGATGTCAACTCCAGATTAGAAAAGGCAGATCCCACATTCCATTTTCAGTAAGCGCCTTAACACAGAGGAGAAGAAACAAAGGCTCAAGTGGTGTAGACAAACTACGAGCTCCAAGTCAGCACCACCAGAACAAGTTAAATTCATCCAGGAGTTTTTATAACTGTTATACTTGAATGAAAGACCTATTGTTTGCCCTTCCATTTGAAACACGTTCAGCAGAATTCCTGACATTCCTTGTCAGTCAATGTGACCGAAACCAAAAACAGTCAGTCTTGCAAAAGGTAATAACGGGCAGGAGGCCAGGTTTCATCCTACGGAGGGACCACGTTCCTCTGCACTCTGCACTTCCGCTTCCGGCCGCGGTCTGGAGAGCGGCTGCAGCGCACACAGGAGAAGCAGCAGTGCTGCTCAGCACAGGCGGACGGTGCCGGGCAGCGCCTCCCAGCCCCTGCTGTTCAGCTCCTTGCAGCTTCCTGTCTGAAAGCAGTCACTTCTGCAACATTCTGCTCGCCCTGCTCACTCGGCCCATGCACGTTCCTCTCCCAAACCCATCGAGTTGGCTTTTTCAGGCACCGATTCATCCCCAGTATTCAGTTTGGTGAGAGCCAGTTCAGCATTTCCTGGTTTATTTTAACATTTTTCCGACTTTACGCTCTCCACAAGGAGCAAAGTTCAGACTTATAAAAGCAAAGCTGACTCTTTCTGAATGATTGAAAAATCTATTAGCAGGAGACTAAGTCTCTCACGATAAGAATGCTTTGCATCAGTCCAGCCAACATAAAACCTTATCTTAGCCTGTTATTCAAACACCACATGTCCTATGGTCAGGAATCAACATCTGACTCCATATTTTCAGGCCACAAATGTTTCCTACTGTTTACACAGTTTACTCAATTCTGAAGTTCAACCAACTCATAGCTTGGCCGGGATTTCCCCATTCTCACCTCCCAGGGAGAAGGACAAAGTCAATTTATTAACATCAGAGCATCGAAGGTTTGGGTACCACACATTGGGTGCTGCCTGAATATGAGACACAGCACGTGTCTGGAACCCTGTATGACTGGGGAACAAAGAGTTGTCAGTGCATGCTATTTTCAATAACTTAATGAAATATAAATGAAGAAAAAGTATACATGTTACGTGGTGAAGTGATATTGGAACTGATAGCTATGATACTGTGCATGTCCTAAAAAATTAATAATTTTATGGTAGTGCAGCAAGAATACAGAAGTATTCCAACAGCATCCCTAACAAATTTCTGTGTAACCATACAGATTAAAAAGAACTTTTACTCTTTAAGTATGTAATGCTACTAAAGAGAAACTGGAAATCCAAGTATTGCCTATATACATCGCTGAAACAAGCAGCTGAGAGTTATGAAATAATTTAGATTTTTTTCTGATAGAAGTTCCCCAGAAAGGGCTAAGGTAGCAGACCTCATCAGATGCAAGAACTTTTTAGGAAGTTTAATCATGCAGACAGAATAAGAATTAATCAAAGAAACCTATACAAGAATCAATATTTCCATATAAAGGAAGATATTGAAAGACAAGTTATCAAAATAGAAACATCATTACTGTGTTTATTAGGAAGCAGGCTTGTTCCACATGCCAATTAGCAATCTGTGGAAACATACAAGGTACATTTCAATAGCCAGCAGCAAAGCCCACCCCAAAAAAGACCAGATCATAGTACTGGAAACACATGCAAAGTTGGAAGGGATCAACAGCAAAACCTAGAGTTACAAAGCAGAGGTGAAGGAAGAGGAAAGGTAGGGCTGTTCTGTCTAGCACAAGGAAAACCAAAACAGCAGCTGCATACAGTTGCAGAAGTAGCTCACGCAATTCTAAGCGATGCTAAAAAAAGGCTTTTTTTTCCTGTAGAAATGAAGAAGTACCATTAGAACTGTACAAGGCATAAGACTTCACATGAAATACTGGATGACTGGAAAGGCGTATATATATGCTCAACAACAGGAACTTAGACTGAAGCAGGTGTAGAAAACAGAATAATGAAGAGCAGGTCACTTTTCCTATTTAGATAAGAGCTTGTCCTTTTTGCTAGAACAAACAATGGTTGAGAGCAGAGATCAACCACATTTATGAACAGGATGCATGTCAAAAGCACTGGTGCTCTTACCAATATAATACTCTCCCAGGTACCCTGCCCAATCCATTTTGCTCATGTGCTCATGACTAAACTCAGTTCTAGACCTGGAGCTGCAGGGGTGGGGAGAGCTTCATATCATATTCCAAGACAACACCTCTGTTCTCCCACCTCCCTTCTGCTGTGTCGTGTCGTCCCCCCCCCCCCCCCCCCCCCCCCTCCCCCCCTCCCCACACACAGTGTATAGCACAGGTTACTCTTTACAAAATCATAAAATATAACACATTCTCCTATCAAACCTACTGGTTCCTTAAATAGCAATGCCATTAATCTGTTTTGCCTGCTTTCTGCCTTATCAGTTACAGCTAGAGTCTTTTTCTGCAGATCTTATAGCACCTGCAAACATTTTATGGTGCAGCAGTGTGCAGATAAAACATACTGCATGCTTTAAAACTCAGACTGCAATGGGACTGGACCTGTGGGGCTAGCCTGTTCTTTCCAACTCTGCATTCCTCTTGTTAAATTGGCATCATCCCTACAGAACCACTTCTATTCCCATACACATGTTATCCATCAGGAAGCCACAGAGTTACACTTGAAAAGAGGCAAGTCACAGTAACATCCCATCCTTGTGCTCCCACTCTCCTCTTCCTGTGCCATCTCCCTTTTCTACCTCTCTCATGTTCTCTGCTCCATTTATGCTCAGAGCTACTGAGCGTAAAAGGTAAGACAACAACTGCAGCAGTCAGGATTAGAGAAGCACAAAGCAGCAGGCCAGGCTTGGCCACATTTGGACAAGAGCTGCTTTTTCTGATCCATTCTCTTTTTTGAAAGCTTGGGTTGAAAATATATTGGGGAAAAAAAAAAAAGTGAAGTAAGAGGCAGGACATAGATGACTGTATTCCAAGAAACAGAGAACTGAAGGTTACAGGGTTCTGCTACCCGTTTAAAAAGGGCAAAGAAAGAGAGAGGAACTGACTGACTACAGAAATGCAGAAGGGATCCAATTCTTTTTTTTTTTTTTTAAGACACGGAATATTACTGCCATGAGATACAGCCAGGAAGTAAGTGGTCAAGAAATAATGGGGAAGAGCTTATTTAGACAAGCCAAATTCCTGGGGTGGATGCAAACTCAGACAGGTCCAGGACTACACCCTCAGTGCACGCTTCAGCACTAAGCTGAACCTCCAAAGAGGAATTGAAGCAACTTGTTTCAACTGCAAGTATTTTGTCTAACACGCAGTTTTACACAAAGAGCTCACCTTCTTGCCTCAGCCCCTTTCATTCCTATGTTTTAAAATGTACATAGCTTTAGAAACAGTATTTACAGCAAGCATGAGGGAATCATGGACAGACCTCTTAGT